AATCTCTCATCTCTTCAAAGGCAAATATCTTACTGTGATAGCGAAAGTCAAGAATGTGCCCTAAACCAGCATGGTATAATGGTGAGGGGGTTGGTCTAAGACCTGGAGGTTCAAACCCCCACTCTACAAATGAAAACATTTTCGTGGGCCCCTAAAAGTGTTGTGGGCCCTAGGCACTGTGCCTACTGTGCCTAATGGATAAGTCGGCCCTGCCTACCTCACAGGGTGGTTGTTGTGAGGACAAAATGGAGGGGAGATGATGTATACTACCCTAAATTCCTGTGTGTGTGTGTGTGTGTGTGTGTGTAAGCCAGATTGAACCAATTTGTGGAGAACAACAAGGCCTTAGAACAATGTTTGAGTCCGGTGGCACCTTTAAGACCAACAAAGTTTTATTCAAGGTATAATAATAATAATAATAATAATAATTAATAATAATAATACTTTCCATTTATTAATCGCTTTCCGGGACTAACAATGTTTGTAGGGGAAAGGGAAGACAACATATATTAATTTAATTGCACACGCCATAACTGCCCGGTGCAGACGTCTTCTGGCTTGGCTCCGTCGTTTTTCTGCACGGCTGCTTGTTGACCAGGCTTCAGGACCTGTATGTCAATCACTACACTGCCACCGCCTGGCCGGAACATCCACTGCAGGGATTCTTTTGTAGCCGAGAAGTTATTTCACCTTTCCGAACCTCGACCAGGACGTCCGACCGTCAGCTAACACCCTCCCACAAGGGAGATTGGCGTGCCCACCCTCTCTAAGGAGTGGTTCCCATTTTATCTACTCGCCGAAGCTTTCGAATCGCTGGGTGGACGATGAGCTGGGGACAACAGGCTGGCTGCTCACACCAGCGCGGGGCTCGATGTTCAGATGTTAACACAGTGGGATATACCCACTGTGCCACCGCTCCCCTTATAAAGGTGTCACTGGTATAAGCTTATAAAGGTGTCACTGGACTTAAACATTGTTCTGCTGCTTCAGACCAACATGGCTACCCACCTGAATCTATCAACAAGTTCTTAGGTTAGATATTGAGGCCTGAGTCACACAGGGAAGAGAATAAGGTGGCAAATACCTGAGGCTGATAGGTTGGACTGCCCCACTGCAACCTACAGGATGAGGGTCCCATTTTGGAATGTCCCTTGTGTTTAAAAACAAAACAAAAGCTCCCTGTAAATAGAAACCAGCACAGCAAGTCAAAGGGATCGGGGTTTTGAACCTTTCTCCTACCTGTTCTCATTTGCTATATGTGTGGAGTTGTTTGTTTACGAAAAGGAGCATGTAAAGTTGGAACACACCAGTCTGAAGTGGCGCAGTTCATGTCTGTGACCTTGGGGCACTGCCACCGCATTACCACCACCTCCTCGAACCAGGGCCTGAGATCTGACAGTTTTGAGGTCTGTGAAAAATAAATCAAATTGTGCCTGGTATAACTAAAAGTCTGTCTGAGGTCAAGTAGATTACCTCATCTGAGAAGCAGATGCAATTAATCTCTGCTGCCATGGCATAGCCGGGGAGATGCGGTCAAGTGCTTGGAAGGGACGGGTAATTGTTCTTCTATTTACGGGCTAATAAATAATAGATAAGAACAGGGGTAATCAATAGCTGTCCCAATGGCACAATTTTAGAAATTAGTGATGAGGGAGATGCTTGTTATGCAACTATGGTTGCTGCTCCTTATGGAAAACAACTTCTCTCTGTCGATATAAGAAGGGTTCTGTAATACAATTCTTGAATCCTATAAAGGGTTTTTTTCCTATAAACTTTTAGGTCAGGTGGTGTTTTCCCCCCTATGATCTTTTAGCACCACCCTATAGAATAGAATATTTTCATTTTTCACCACAGGCAGTCATGTTATTATTGATAATTTTGCCAGTGCATCTATTATGCAAAGTGTTTCATCTTGATATTGATCTTTTTCCCCCCCCAAGTGAGAAATATTCATTATGACACATTAGGAAAAATATTTCTCCGACTTCACGGTCAAGTTAGTACCTGACATGTGTGATTGTGAGAGAAACTGGAAAAGAGCTGTGAGTACACAGAGATGGAGCTATCCTAAGCAGAGTTGTGCCCTTCTAAGTCTGTTAACTCTGCTTAGGATGGTAATGTAAGAAAACATTTGTCGGTGAAAGAATATTTTTTTTATTTATTTACAAAATTTATACCCCACCTTTCTGTCCTCATCAGAGCCATCAAAACAGCTAACAAATTAAAAACCTACATCATAAAAACACATCTTAAAAACCATTAAAAGTAGGGTTGCCAGGTTCTACCTGTAGCTATGGTGGGAGAGTCCTGGCTCTCTCTGGGACTTCTTTGGCATGCACGCTTTGCGCGCATGCTGCGATGACATCACCCGGAAGTGACATCATCGCATTGGGCACGTTGCGGGTGGGACCACTATCATTTGAGGGGAAGCCATAGAGTTTTCCCTCGAATGATAGCGGTTCCCCTCGAATGATAGCGGTTCCCCCTGCACTGTGCCTGGCGCAATGACGTCACCTCCGGGATGACATCACCTTGCAGGACACGTTGCCGCGATCCTGGCACTTTGGGGGTAGGGTTCCCTCCGGTGGCCCGATCCGGGCCGGCAGGTAAGGGGCCCCATCAAGTGGGGACCTGGCAACCCTAAATAAAGCAAGCAAAAATGCATAATTAAAACATGGGGTGGGAAGGAGGGATTGCTGAGAACACCAGAGGAAACGCAGAAGTATTGGGAAGACAAGTCAGTCTCTAGGGAGAAAATTCCACAGTTTGGGTGCCACAACAGAAAAGGCCCTCTTCTAGATTTCCACACGCACACACACCCAGTCTCAGAAGGTTGGGGGCACTTGAAGCAGGGCCTCGGGAGAAGCCTGGAGTAGGTTTGTAAGGGAGTAAGCAATCCTTCAGAATCAGATATGTTGGTTCGAAGCCATACAGGGCTTTAAAGGTCAACGCCAGCGCCCTGAGCTGTGCCTGGAAAAAAATTGGGATCCACTGTAGGTGGGCCACGGCTGGAGGGATAGGGTCCCTATGACCACTCCAGTCAACATCCTGGCTCCAGCACTCTGCATCAGTTGAAGTTTCTGAACACTTTTGAAGGAGCAGCCGCCCCACATAAAGTGCATTACAGTAATCTAATCTAGATGTAACGGAGCATGCACCATGGTGGCCAGATCTTTTCGGCCCGGGAAAGGCCACAACTGGCTAAACTGTTAAAGCTGGTAAAAGACACTCACGGCCACCATATACATGTGAATGAATGCGTTTATGTGTGAAGCTGCCTTCTATTGAATCAGATCATTGGTCCCTTTTAGCTGAGTACTGTCTATTCTGGCTGGCAGCAACTCTCCAGAGTCTCAGATGAGAAGAGGTTTTCCCCAAGCACTTGCCACCTGGAACTGGAGATTTTGCCATGAGATTGAACCTGCGATATTCTGCAAGCAAAGAAGACATTCCACCAGTGAGCTACAGCCCCTGTCCGCAAAGAGGATCTGCAAATAGATTGTAAACGGGCACAGTGCATCTTCATGTACAATAACACCTTGGTTCCTCTTTGCCCAGGGCAACCCTACCAGTTGTCTCACAGACCTTCATGGGAGGCAGCCCCTGTCTGCACAGTCCTGTTCTTCCATTGGCCCAGCTCTCCCCTTGGGTCTTTTTCTGGTCGCTCTAGAGCATGACAAAGAGACAGAACCTTGAAACTGGCTTCTTAAACATGTGATTTTTCTTGATAAAAGTACTGTTCTCGGGGAAGTGTTCTCTGTTTCACATGACACCCATTTATCCTTTTCCGGTTATATTGCTGTAGAGTCCCAGAGATGGAAGGACGTTTTGATAACCATAAAGTGAAGATAAGAAGCTTTCATTAGGTTTAGCACAGGAAGGCGCTCAGTCAGCCTCCATTGCTGCTTTTGCATAACTGCACCCATGGTGTTATCCCTGCAGTGTGTGAATGTTGGAGCCTGCAGCCATACAGAGAACATTTCCAGTGTGGCAAAACAGACTGAAAGCTCCTTTGCTGCCTTGTGGCACTTGCACATTTTCTGTCCTGAGGGAGGAAAAAACACACAGTGGTTCTAAGAACATAAAAAGAGCCCTGCTGGATCAGACCAAAGACCCATCAGGTCACAGGAAGTGGTGGCGGCTACAAGCATGGACGGCTTCAAAAGGGAATTAGATAGGCATATGGAGCAGAGGTCTATCAGTGGCTATTAGCCACAAGGTATAGATAGGGGCTCTGGGGCAAGTGATGCTCTGTCTTCTTGGTGCTTGGGGGGAGCAACGGTGGGAGGGCTTCTGGTGTCCTGGCCCCACTGGTGGACCTCCTGATGGCACCTGGTATTTTTGGCCACTGTGTGACAGAGTGTTGGACTAGATGGGCCTTTGGCCTGATCTAACACTGGCGTCTCTTATGTTCTTATGTCCAGCATCCTGTCTCAGACAGTGGCTGACCAGCTGCCTCTAGAAAGCCCACAAGCAGGATGACTGCAACCGTATCCTCCCAATTGCGCGTGCCCCCCCCCAGCTTATGTAAAGAGGTGTACAGCCGGAAGAGAGATCCATTTTGACTTGTAGCCATTGATAGCTCCATCCTCCCATGAATTTGTCCACTCCCTTTTTAAAGCCTTCCAAGTTGGCAGCCCACACCACATCCTGTGGCAGCAAGTTCCAAAGTTTGACTGCGCTCTGTGTAAAGAAGAACTTCCTGCAGACGTCCAAAAGCCAGTCGTTGTGGGCACCTGTTCTGAATTTCTGTGACTGCCAGAGGCTTGTGATGCAGTTTGCTGGTGGGCTACAAGCTTCTGCCGGTGAACACTGCTGAATAGAGGAGGGGAATGCAGTACCAGGAGGCAGCTAAAGAGGCAAAGAGTCTGTGACTTCAGCATGATAGCAGTGTGCAGATGCACTGAGTGAATCTCTAATAGCCTTGGGTGGGAAGAGACACATTTCCCCAGAGTAATATATAAAGATGATCTAAGCTCTTTCCTTTTTTGCATTTATAGGCACATTGTGAAAACACTTGCCCTGGGCCAGATGCTCTCCTTGTTCATATGCGGGACGGCAGTCACAAGCCAGTACTTAGCCGAACGCTTTCAGGTGAACACTCCAATGTTGCAGAGTTTCATCAACTATTGCTTGTTGCTTCTAGTGTATACGACAACTCTGGCCTGTAGGAAAGGTATGAAAATTGTGGAATGTAACCCAGTATTATGAAACTGATATCATTGTTTTCCTTGAACATTTTCAGGCGAATGCAATAATTTCCAAACTGTATTTAGGAATATGCTATGGGGGGCCTTGGGAGGGAATTGGAGTTCTTGGGTAGAAAGATCAGTAGTGATCAATGCACCCAAGGAGCCAGTTTGGTGTACTGGTTAAGAGTACAGACTCTAATCTGGTAGAACTGGGTTTGATTCCCCACTCTTCCACATGCAGCTGCTGGTGTGACCTTGGGTCAGTCATAAGTTCTTTCAGAGCTGTTCTCTCAAGGGCAGTTCTTGAGAGAGCTCTCTCAGCTCCACCTACCTCACAGGGTGTCTGTTGTGGGGAGGGGAAGGGAAAGGAACCCACTGTGAGACTCATTCAGTTAGTGAAGGGCGGAGTGTAAATCCACTTTCTTCTCCTCCTCCTCCTCCTCCTTTGATTTTCTCCTGCAGCATTCTCTCCCAGGGAAATGGGCATTTTCTTGGGCTCGTTCCTACTTCACGTAGAGAATCAGAGAGGCTCAGTGGGCCTTACAAATCCCTGCGCAAACTGTGAGCTCAGCTATGTGGTAACACTCTCCCAAGGTCTGCCAGTGCCACAAGTCCTTTCAAGTAGACTCTTGCTGATTGCAACTTGAATTGTCAGGCATGATGGGGGCTGATTTGGACGAGGACTGGGGTTGCTAGCCGAGTGCTGGCAACTGGTGGGGTGCTGAAAGTCAAATTGCTGTTGCCCCAAAAGTGTGATGTCACTTCTGGCGCAATGTCAATTGCATTGGGATGATGCCCTAGAACTCCACTGATATTCTAGGATAAAACCGTAATGTTTCAGGGGAATCAACAGTGCCAGGATTGCACTGGAAAGGAGGTCACACTGTCGGAGCGATGGCGATTTCCCAGGGATTTCTCTTCTACCACTTTGCCGAGCAGTGGGAGGGTTGGGGGCAGCCAGTGGGGTGTCTCCTGCTATATCGGGAGAGCTGTGGCAGCCCTGATTCGGACTCTGGAACTATAGGGGCAGGGGCTTCAACTTTCCCTCTGTGCCACTTTCCCAACCTGAATCAGCCCCAGGGAATTGCTGTCTGCCCTGCTGGAGAGACGGGTAGCCTGATAACTTATCAGTACACATAAGTCTCCCCAGCAGGGCAAACAGCAATTCCCTGGGGCTGATTCAGGTTGGGAAAATGAGATGAGCAGTGGGTTTTAGGAGGCCCCCCCAACTTGTTTCTCAGTCCCAATCCAAATCAGCCCCCATGTGCCTGAGAATTTTGGGATGTACCAACAGAAGTCTAGTGTCCAGATCACACAAAGTGATGGTATCTCTTTACTCTGCTCTGGTTAGACCTCACTTATCATTTTAGGCTGGTCCTGCACTGGGCAGGGGGTTGGACTAGATGGTTTGTATGGCCCCTTCCAACTCTTATGATTCTATGATTGTGTTCAGTTTTGGGCATCACAATTTAAGAAGGATATAGACAAGCTGGAACATGTCCAGAGAAGGGCAACGTAGATGGTGAGGGGGTCTGGAGACCAAGTCCTATGAGGAAAGGCTGAAGGAGCTGGGTATGTTTAGCCTGGAGAGGAAATGACGGAGAGGTGATATGATAAGCATCTTCAGGTATTTGAAGGGCTGTCATATAGAGGATGATGCAGAGTTGTTTTCTGTTGCTCCAGAAGATCAGACCAGAACCAATGGGCTGAATTTAAATCAAAAAAGTTTTTGGCTAAACATTAGAAAGAACTACCTGACAGTTAGAGCGATTCCTCAGAGGAACAGGCTTCCTTGGGAGGTGGTGGGCTCTCCTTCTTTGGAGGCTTTTAAGCAGAAGATGGATGGCCATCTGACAGCACTGCTGATTCTTTGAACTTAGGCAGATCATGGGAAGGAGGGCAGGAAGGGTTGCCTCAGTGCTTAGTACTTGTGGCCCTTTCTTACATGCCCAGGGAAATGCTGATTGCCACTTTGGGGTCAGGAAGCAATTTTCCTCCAGGCTGGTTTGGCTGGAGACCCTGGAGATTTTTTGTCATCTTCTGGGGATGGAACAGCGGTCACTGCGTGTGTGGAGGGGGAGGTAGTCATGAATTTCCTGCATTGTGCAGGGGGTTGGACTAGATGACCCTGGAGGTCCCTTCCAACTCCATGATTCTATGAATTGAAGTTTCAACTGGGAACTCCTAGTGCATGTCTAGTTGACGGGACCTGGGCACTGAGCTGGGAAAAACAGATCATCTACTTAGGTCCACTGTGGGTGCATGCGTGTGCAATATTATGCGTGCGCAATATCCACAGAAGGTGTCTTGTGTTTTCCTCCCCCTCCAGATGGCGACAGTCTCCTGAAGGTTCTGAAGGGGAAATGGTGGAAGTACATTCTGCTGGGGCTGGTCGATGTCGAAGCAAACTACACCATCGTCAAAGCCTACCAGTACACCACCCTGACAAGCGTTCAGGTAAGAACAGCCGAAGGAACTTGTGGAACATTAAAGACTTCACACGTTTATTGTCGCATGAACATAAGAAGGGCCCTGTTGGATCAGAGCCGTAGTTCATCCAGTCCGGCATCCTGGCTCTCAGAGTGGCCAACCAGTTCCTCTGGAGGGCCAACAACAAGGTATAGTGGCCAAGGCCTTCCCAGATGTTGCCTCTTGGCTCTGGGATTCAGAGGTTTAGTTCCTCTGAACGTGGAGGTTCCCTTTAGTCACCGTGGCAGCGTGGCTAGTAGCCAGCCACAGATAGGCTTCTCTTCCATGAATGTTTTGCAGGCAAGGCAATAAGGTGATGTGGGCAGTACAGATGGTGCGTGAATGTCTATTTATGGACTGGGGAGGGGAGATTTTTTTTAAAAGATGTTTTTATTTTAGTCATGATTTTTTGACATTGCCAAGAAACAAACAATATCCCTTGTGTAGGGCCTTCCCATATTGACAGCAACAGAGCTGTAATGGAAGCTGAGTGTATTCGGTACGCCGCAGTCAATTACATTTGCCAATATGGCAGGGAAGAAATAGAGCTTTTTGTACTTGGGTCAGAAGGTAGACTGGATGCTTCTCTTTTTGAGTGCTGCTGACGCTTTGAAAATGTTACTGAAAATGCAGCAATGGGGCTGCTTCCACCAAGGGGTGCCTGGGTAGGTGAGGCCCTTGTTACAGACTTGTTGCCAGGGCAAATGCAGTGGCAGTGAAGAGTCCACACTGGACATTTGTCACCTTGCAGAAGAGAACTGGGATCCCTACAACCACTCCAAAAATCTCAGGCAAACACTGAACAAGTGCCATCCCAGAAGTAGAAAAAGGATTGGGAGGTTCCCATAAGTGAAAACCACTGCATTAAAAGGCCCTGTCATGACCTCTGGGGGTCGCCACTTTCTGCCGCCACCACTCTGGACTTCGGGTCCCTTGAGAGGGCCCAGAGTACCCTCCCAAGCTCATCCAAAATGCCCCTTTTTAAGCCGAGAACATAGGCGTGATGACCAGGCAGAGAACAATTAAACAAATGGTTTATTAACACAGTACTGGGGCAAGGGAAACAAGACAAGGTGCTTAAAAATATGTAACAGTGTTTATCGGCAAAATAAACGAATCTAACACGACTACCTAGTTCACTTAACTGGTTACTACTTCAAGGCCAACAGCCCTCTTATACCAGGCATCCTGCCTGCACTTACTCTGAGCCAAGTGAGGGATCTTTCTCCTCAGACCAGACTATTCCCCTCAGTTTAACGCTGTGAGAGGGAAGACCACAGAAGAGCAAAAGAACCCAGTTTTTCAGTTCAAACAGCTTAAGTCAGAATCTCCTCACACAATGTCTGGAAACTGATTGGCTACAACTCTCGCTATGTATTATGGGGCTTGTAGGCTGTCTGCTTTCTACTCCCACACAGGTCTCTAGAGGCCTTTACTCCCACACAGATCATGACAGGCCCCTTTGTGTGCTCAAAGGAAACCTCTGTGGCACTGACCTCTTCCTGTGCCTACCTGAGCAACAGCAGAAGACCCACCATCCCTTTGTCAGTGCCTCTGGGAGAAACTGTCCTCCCCTATTCCTCCGTGTCTTTCAGCCCACACCTTCCTGCCTACACTGTGGGCAAATGCATTTTTGCACCAATACAGAAGGGAGGAGGGGAGGATGGCATTGTATAAATGGTCCTCCCCCTCCCTCCCCCCACACATGGCTTTTTGAGAGCTGGGGTGGAGCAAATCATCTGTGTGGAAAGCAGCCCATGTTTAATTACAATAAACTCCAGTCCATTTTAGTATGCTGCTGTTGGTACAGCCTGAGCAGAGGGGGAACACCTGCAAGTGTGTGTGTGTGTGGGGGGGGGGAAAGGTACTTTTAGACTGGTTTTAATGTCTGTTGTTTTAAATGTTTGTTTTATAACCTGGTTCTTCTGCTGTTGTTACCTCCCTTGGGTCCTGAGCAATGTTCCCTCTAAGCTCTGGAGTCTTGTGAGCAAAAATTCTCCTTTGTGAGCAACTGGCATGAAAGTTGTGAGTGAGGGATCTGGCTACTGCATCAATTAGTTTGCTCTGGAGCCCCATCCTTCCTGAGCAAAGACAAAAATGTGTGAGCCGGAGGCTTAAAAACTGTGAGCTAGCTCACACTAAATCAGCTTAGAGGGACCACTGGTCCTGAGATGCTCAGGAGAAAGGTGGGCTTATACATGTTTTAAGTCAATAAATAATATTTGCTTTTCTTGTATAAGATCATGCAAACAAGTCAGTGTTACAACCATAAGGGTTCTCCGTTTTTCCAAGAAGTCATTAACATAGAGAACAGGGGTTGTTTTGCCGGCAACCGTTTTAATTGTGACTTTTGGCTCTGATAATTATTGCCTTGTGGAGAACACAGTAACTTTTGAGACAAACCCCCCCCCCCCATTCCTGGATGAAACCAAGAAACCTTTTAGTTTTGACTAGGAATTCACTGCTGAGAGCCAAGGCTAGAAGAGTCTGAGAGTTATGGGATGCCACTGAAAAACATTAGATAAGCTTCTTAAGCAGAGAGAGAGAGAGAGAGAGAGAAGCAGGGTTTATTAGAAAGGAAACATGAACTATTGGAGAGTAAGAAAGGGGCAGGAGAAGAGAGAACGTTTTTGCTGCAGAGATTTGTATACACAGGTACTCACATTCTCCTAAATAAACCTTTAAAAAAGGATGTCTTTTTTGAACCCAGTCTTTTTTATGTAGGAACAAATGTTCAGTCAGGAATAGGTGTCCCTTTTGTAGGAATGTTTAAGGAGGAGTATTCCAGATAACCATGCCCTTTCGGCAACTGCGCCTTCTAGGAAGGGCTTTGGTTGAAGGAGTAAGATTTGAAATTAGCTAGAAGGGAACTCTTTAACTGAAGAGAACTATCTTAATAGAATATATAATATACAGGAACGTGACCTTTTATGCGGCAGAACTGTAACTGTCAAGGTGTGTCTGCTTGTGGCCTTCCCCCATCTCCAATGTATCAGTTTTGGATGGGAAGTTTGGGAGCTGTTCTGCCCCAAAATATAATTCTACAGAGAGGTTCATGCTTTGTGTGAGGAGAGACCCCAGCTTTGATGTCTGGTACCACTGTTCTTGGGGCTGCGGTGGCTTCGAGGTTAAGATGCTGAGCTGCAGACCAGAAGTTTGGCAGTTCGAGACCGTAGTACCACATGACAGAGTGAGCTCCTGTCTCTGGCCCCAGCTCCTGCCAGCCTAGCAGTTCAAAAGCAAAAAATTGCAAGTAGATAAATAGGTACTGCTTCGGTGGGAAGGTAACAGTGTTCTGTGTGCGTCGGCATTTAGTCATGCCGACCATATGACCATGGAAACGTCTTCAGACAGTGCTGGCTCTTCGGCTTGGAAACAGAGGTGAGGACCGCCCCCTAGAATCAGATTCGACTAGCTTTTGAGCAAGGGAAACCTTTACCTTACCACTGTTCTAAAACAGGTCTCACTAACAGGGCTGAGAAGGACCTTGGAGTGTTGCCGCCAATCTGAATAGCCTGGGCAGAACTCGCTGAACCCAGGAGTTGACATGTTACAAGACAGTCTTGTATATCTTTGTGCAGACAACGGAATGCTGATTTGTATGCTGTTCCAGTGCTGTATGACCTCCTTTGCCCTGGCTTGTTCCCCTTCCACTCCACTAACCCTTGCACACAGGAACTACGTCACTGGCCCCTCCCATATGGTAACTGTAGAAGTGGGAAGAAACCACAAGGAACTTAAGTTAGGTGGCTGTGCCGCATTCCCACTGTTGTATCCGTCTCCCATTTGGTGGGGCCGTTTTGAACTACTGACCTGCCGTGGAGTCTGTGAAGAGAGCATGCTGTTTGGCCTGTGACTTCTCTGCACCATTAAGAACTGTTTAGAAGCAGATGCAACCAACTAATGTCAATAGACTGTTTTAAGGCAGGCTCATTATTTCTGAAGCTAAAAGCAGCAAGAGTTTCAGATCCTACTGTTGTGTCAACTTGAAGAGTGTGAACAGTTAATACTAGATGGCTGGCGATCTGGAGGGAGTGTACATATTTCCAAACCCATGGGGAAAGTACAGCAGGACATATTAGTTATCTACATCCAGCTTCCCTCCCTCCCTCTTTTCCTTTTCCTTAAAACACGCTGAACCACTCAACTGATCTGGGGCAAGAAGCATCACTCAGAAACCCATGGTGTCCAGGCACGGATGACTTGGTTTAATTGGACAAAAGTGCTTATTTACCTCAGAGTCTCTATGCTGTCCTCCCCATCCTCCAATCTGGAACTTGCCTGTCTGTCCTTAGACTTTGCATGACATCATAGCTGGTAAGCAAATGGGAGCCATTGAATTGTACAAAACTAGCTCTGATTGCAGGAATACACGCACAGGAAAAAAGCAAAGGAGAACTGGGATTAAGGAGTATGATTTTATAAAGGATAATAAGTGGCTGTGGGTTTTTTTAATTGCATTTTGGAAATATTTCGATGTGGTTACTGTGACTCATTTTAACTACATGAAAGGGGATTAGAGCAACACAGTGAATTTTGTCAGGTTTTTTTTTTTTAGTTGGGTTGACAGCACTTACGCTAATAGGACTATTGATTTGAGCAAAACCTCAGAAGGAATGTTTTGTGTGACTAAAATTGAATGCTGAAGTCTAGCCAAAGTTAGACACAATGAAATCCCTTGGTGTGTCTGTGGGAGGGAAACCCAGTGGTGTGGGGTTTATCTTCAGTTCTAACCTCCTGTTTAATCTTTGTGAACTTTTGGCTGACTGTACCTGCAGGCCCTGAATCTGGATCTGCACTGATCCTGTAGCGTATCTTGCACATTTATTTGTTTACCTGGTTGGAGAAATCAGTGATTGTGACCCTTTGTAAGTCTGGGATGTGTTTTCTTTCTGTGCTTTGCCAGCTCCTTGACTGTTTTGGGATTCCGGTGCTGATGGCTTTATCGTGGTTCATCCTTCGCGCAAGATACAAACTGATCCATTTCATTGCTGTTGCTGTCTGCCTGCTGGGCGTAGGGACCATGGTGGGGGCAGATATATTAGCTGGGAGGCAAGAAGGTGAAGGTAAGGTCCGGGCAAAATATGCAGAAATGATTCCAGTGGCTCTGACACGGGTCTGATTTGGTGCTCTCCTTTTCATCTGAGCATCAGTCTTTGGTGTGCTTCAGTGCTAAGCTTCTTATGTCAGCACCATATTAAGTACTTTACTGCTGTATGCTGAGTCTAGAAGGTCTGAACACTGACACATTAGGAAGCTAGATTTATGCCACGGACTGAAAAATAGAAAATCGTATGGTATTGGGGAGGGGTATGTCTCAGTGGCAGAGCAATGCAGAAGGTCCCTGATTCAATCCCCGGCATCTCTACTTAAAAGGATTAGGTAGTGTAAAGTCTCCCTTTGGCTGTGGGAGTACTCACTCCCTTTGGAGTACTCACTCCGGCACCCGTTCTCAGGTCCATTCAGCAGAGACAAGTTGGCTCAAAACATCAACCCTTCATTTGCAAGAGGACAACTCTCACAACCAGCAACTTCGGCCAACATACAAAACTGGAAACTGAAACAAGAGCTCCACCCAATAGGACCAAACTGAATCACATAGATAATTAGGGGAGCAGCAGACTGTTAC